GATGACTACCTTATATGCCATCCTAGAGCCTTCATTCAGTAGCTGATGGAAGGAGAAGCAGATACCTACAGCTAAATACTGAGCTGAACGCTGGAATCCACTTGCAGAGAGGGAGGAGTGATGAGCAAAGGGGTTAAGACCAGGCTGGTGAAATCCAGGGAGAGACCAAGAGAGCATGAACAAAGGACCATGGGTTTGTGTTGGCCAGTCACAGAAACAGTGACTAGACAATATGGCTATTAGGCTTTGTTGTATAATTTAAAGTCCAATAACTCCTCTCTTAAGTGAAAAAAAAAACCCTAACTTTAGAAGACATACTAATTGTTGTTTTCCCCCACTGGTTTGAAGCAAATCCACCGTTGATTGATTTTTCCCAAGGAAATCAATCAGACTACATTTTTGCAATCTTCATCCTTTTGTTTTTCTTTCCAATTGACTATAATTTTCTCTAAATTTCATCCCTTTCCCTTTAATATCTTCAAAATGCTTGACATTCTATTTTCAGATGTAGTTAGTATACTATTGTAAAATAACTTGTTTCCTCTGTGGGGAATTCTGCTCTTCTAAATCAGGCCATTGTGCTGTCTTTGTGAGGTACATGGGTACAGCCTCACCAACATTTCTAGGCTTTATTTGATATATTATTTTAAATAAAAGAAGTGTTAAGAAATATCTGGAGATAGATCCATATCTATCGCCATGCACAAAGCTTAAGTTCAAATGGATCAAAGACCTCAACATAAATCTAGCCACACTGAACCTCTTAGAAGTGAAACTAGGAGGTACCCTCAAATGAATTGGTATATGAGACCACTTCCTGAATATAACAGCAGTAGCACAGACACTGAGATTGACAATGAATAAATGTGACCTCCTGAAACTAAGAAGCTTCTGTAGGGAAAGGACACAGTCAATAAGACAATACAGCAGTCCATAGAATGGGAAAAGACATTTACCAACCCCACATCTGACAGAAGCCTGATTTCCAAAATATACAAAGAACTCAAGAAGCTAGTCACCAAAACATCAAATAATCCAATTGAAAAGTGGGGTACAGAACTAAATAGAGAATTCTCAATAGAGGAATCTAAAATGGTTGAAAGACACATAAGAAAGTACTCAACATCCTTAGCCATCATGGAAATGCAAATCAAAACAACTCTGAGATATCATCCTGCTCCAGTCAGAATGGCTAAAATCAAAAAACGCCAATGACCGTTTATGCTGGAGAGGATGTGGAGAAAGTGGAACACTCCTCCACTGCTGGTGGGTGAGAGTGCAAACTTGTTCAGTCACTTTGGGAATCAGTATGGTGGTTCCTCAGGAAAATGGGAATCAGTCTACCACAAGATCCAGCAACTCCACTCTTTGACATATACCCTAAGGATGTACATTCATACAACAAGGACATCTGTTCAACTATGTTCATAGCAGCATTGGTTATAATAGCTAGAACCTAGAAGCAACCTAGATGCCCCTCTACTGAAGAATGGATAGAGAAAATGTGGTACATTTACACAATGGAGTACTACTTGAGGGGGGCAATGGAATATTAAAATTTGAAGGCAAATGGATGGAACTAGAAGAAACCATCCTGAGCAAGGTAACCCAGTCACAAAAAGACAAACATGGTTTTACTCACTCATGTATGGGTTTTAGACATAGAGCAAAGAATTACCAGCCTACAATCCATAACACCAGAGAAGCTAGGAAATAAGGAGGACCTTAAGAGAGACATACATGGTCCCCTGGGGAAGGGGAAAGGGACAAGGTCTTCTGAGATCATTAGGAGCATGGGGGAGGGGAGATGAAGACATGAGGTAGCAGGAAAATTGAGGCAGAGGAAGAATAGAGGAGAGCAAGAAAAGAGATACTATAATAGAGGGAGCCATTATAGGTTTGAAGAGAAATCTGGCACTAGGGAATGTCCAGCGATCTACAAGGATGACCCCAACTAACAATCTAATCAATAGTGGAGAGGCTACCTTAAATGCCATTCTCTAATAATGAGAGTGATGACTACCTTATATGCCATCCTAGAGCCTTCATTCAGTAGCTGATGGAAGGAGAAGCAGATACCTACAGCTAAATACTGCGCTGAACTCTGGAATCCACTTGCAGAGAGGGAGGAGTGATGAGCAAAGGGGTTAAGACCAGGCTGGTGAAATCCACAGAAACAGCTGAACTGAACAATGGGAGCTCATGGACCCCAGACTTACAGCTTGGAAACCAGCATAGGACTGTTCCAGACCCTCTGAAAGTTGATGTCAGTTTGGGGCCTCTGGTAGTGGATCATTATTTATCCCTATTATAGAAATGGATTTTTGGGAACCCACTGCACATAGAGGGATGGTTTCTCAGCTTAGCCACATGGGGAAGGGTTTAGGTCCTGCTCCAAATGATGACAGTTTTTAAGATTCCCCCATGGAAGGCCTCATCCTCCCTGGGGAGCAGAAAGAGGATGGGATAGGGGATGGGTGTGGGCAGGGGAGGAGGGGAGCGAGAGGGAACTGGGATTGACAGGTAAAAGAAGCTCGCTTCTAATTTAAATAAATAAAGAAAAAATCATTAAAAGAAAAGAAATATCTGGACTTTTAGGTAATATTTGGTCTAGTTTGGGTATTATACAACAATAAAACAATTTAATCAAGTAGCTCAACCAATGATCAAGATGGGGCAGGGTTAATGTTTGGTCATGAAGCTTTGCTTCTCCCTGAGGAAGTGTGGTACCAATGTTATTTTACTTCACACTGACTTTTCAATAACTTTTTAAACACGAGCACTTCTTTTCTATGTTGTGACTTCCAGGGATCTTCAGTCTTCTTAAGATTCATCACTCCAAATCCCTTGATAGAAAATGCTTCGCCTTATTCCACTTATTTTTTCTACCTCCTTAGTTTATACTGTCAATAAGATCCATGATTACCAAGAGTCTTTTCAGGCTTGTCCATTCTGGTTGTAGTTTAGATGATACATGGGATTTCTACTCTCCAGCTCTCTTTTAAAAAGGAACATTGGAAATCTTTCAAGTAGATCACACAGTGGAACATCTTATTAGTATTTCAGAGGCTTCCTGACGAGTCACCCCCAACCCTATTTATTTATTTATGTGGTTATGTGTACATACATGTTTTCTAGGGTGTGTAAATGGAGGCCAGAAGTTCATGTCTTTTTCTAGTACCCTACACTGTTTTTTGTTGTTGTTGTTGTTGTTGTTTTTGTTTTTGATACTGGGTCATTCATTATACCCAGAGCTCATAGATTTGGCAAGAATAATTGGCCAGCAGGGTACAGGCACGTGCCATCACAGCTTTTTTTTTTTTGCCATCATAGCTTTTATGTGGGGTTTATGGGAATCTGATTTAGCTTCTTACACTTGCACAGCATTCACTTTAGCAACTGCACCGGCTCCCTGGCCCTAGAGTTAATATTTAAACTAACAGCTTGAAAGAAGTGCTCACTTCCCATTTTAACAGTTAATAGTTTAGAGTATCTTTTAACTCTGTCTTTTTAAAGTGGGCCGTGTTCTTTTATTTTAATGTGGAGAATTTTTATTTTCAATTGACATTGCCATGCTTTACAAAAAATTTAAATGTTGACTGAGCAAGTACTTGCCAATACTGACAGAAAGAAGAAACATTGTCCTTATTCCATGAGACATTAACTGAGAATGAAGGCTAAAATCACATACACTGTCTCCAAAATCAGGAGAACAGTAAAGGACCTGTTAGGACTTAAATGAAGAGAATTTTGCATAATGAATGCATAGTGTTCTTTTTAAACCAGTTTTATATATAAGAAGAAAATAAATGGTTTCCTTTATTTTTCTTACTTCTTAGATAACAAAAAAAAATGGACTCATATGATTGAAGTCCCTCTGTGAATTAACCATTTTAAAAGATAAAATTGCTTGAGTCAATATTTGAAATAGTTAGGCATATATGTAGTTTTATGGGAAAACACACAGGAGAATATTATCTAAGAACTGTTGTTAGTCTACCACCTGCTAGAATGTGGGCTCTTGGATGAATGTCTGGGATCAATGGTTATGTTTCCTGTTTAAAGGTGTTTTTTACATCTGGGAGTTCTTGGAATCTAGCAGAGAAAAGGTGAGAGTAATGTTTGAATCATCTTAGTGTTTATAAAGCACAACTTTACCTAGTGCCCTCTTTCCCCACTCTAAATGTAGACTGGAGAATTCTCACTTGTTCACATGGTAGAACACATATACCCTCAGCTTTCAAAGCAGTATCAGCCATGGTTTATTTCTCTTGTATCCTCAGTTGCTTGTGTTGACCTCAGTACACCCTGAATGGGGCAAATAGCCACAACATCCTCAGTTACAATGAACAGGTTCTACACAAGTCTCCTTCAAGTTGGAAAGTGTCTAGGGGCACATAACAACAAACATAATGGCTAAAATAGACTCCAGAATAAAATAAAGGCCAAATTTGAATAACAGTTGGACAATTCTCAAAAAAGTAGCATAAAATATTTCTGGATGTTTACATTTTTAAATTCGTTTCATTTTTACTTTGAGTATAAAGATTCCAAAGATTCTCTGAGGTGGTATTCTTGGAATTTTCTGTATTTCCATACTGAAATAATTTGAATTGGATTAATTTTCATTAATGGGTTTTGGATTCAAATCCACTGTGAGAGCAATGGGGTCCCTTCCACAGAGGACATCAGTCATCAGTTGAAGATGGACTGAGAATTGGCATAAGACACCAAAGTGATGTATTCAAAACAAAAGTGATTGGACTCCAACTCTAATCCAGAGTAGCTTCAAGTGTTCTCATTTGTCTAGGTATCTTTCAGATAATACATAGTGATAGCCAAATCTGGCCTCCGCCATCAGCTAATTAAACAATTTCTTTTGAGGGCAAGAAACCCAAGGCAGCCTTACTTCTAGATGCTTCCTTATATAAGTGTTTAATTGCAATGAGGCAAAAAAAAATCTATGCTGAATTATTCAGAGACATGAAGATGCTTATTAATAAGCTAAGGTGGTTTAGAAATCCCTCTTTGTAGGGGAAGCTGTAGCCACGCCTACTTAGGGGCTGGCTACAGGAGTGCCTGACCATGCTTGTGAGGGGACACTTTCAGGGGACTGCGTTTCTCTTTCAGTTTCACTTTTGTACTTGCTGACAAACTGCTGCCATGCCAGCTGCCTAGGTCATTCTGTAAGTAAGGCTTTTCCCTATTAAATATCCTTGTATTTCTACCTGACTCCGTATTGGTAATTTCCCACTATACCTCTTGACCACTGGTCAAGGAATTATGGCCATTTATTGGCCACTATAGTCTACATGAATAACTATATTTGATGCACCTTTATTTTGTATATGATAACCTGATTGTTTTCATACAGTATTATGTAACTTTATTTCTGATTTCTGTACTACATAGCTGTGAAGATCACTTTTACTAATTGCAGTATGACATTGAGAAGAAAGATCATATCAAGGTTCATGATATAGTGGCTAGAATAAAAAATATGAGTCACCTTTTGTTAGAGTAAATGTTTATCATTTGTGGACTTCACAATGGTAAAGATTACTTTTAAAATGCCAAGAAATAAACACACACACACACACACACACACACACACACACACACAACACATACACATTAACATTCTCCGGGGATAATATGCTGACAGTTGGGTGGTACACAGCATAGAATGATGCTAGCTGTTAAATATTTTCATTCTTTTGTACTAGTGGATAATAATCCCTCTTGAGCATTCAAAGCTCCACCCACCTTCTCTCCTTTAGGTGTCACATACATTCCAGCCCCTACATGGTTAATGGTTGTCCCAGAACATCATTCCTCCCTGGTATAGCACCATAACACCAATCCTAATGGGTAAGGCAATGCCACCTACAGACTTCATACTTTTTAGGAAGCTCCTGGTTTAACCAGAGAAATCAAGCAATAATGACTGACTTTACAAATCTCATTGTGCATCTCTAAAATGTCATTAAAATTCCTTTAAACATGACTGTACTTAAACATAGTCTTTTCCAGCATACTCTCTGGATGAATCAAGCAAGGCAGGTACTTAACATTCTGAGCACCAAGGTCAGAAGATGCACTCCCCACGTAACTGCCCTACTGTTGCCCACTCACTTGCTTTATTTGCAACTCTTTAACATAGATAAAGAACTACACCACACAAAAAGGTCAGGTTTTAACTCTAGCTTCTGATTCATGGGTGGACACTGGCCCGCCTAGTCCAGAGTATGTCCTGTTAAAGGAAATCTCTCCTCCTGTCCCATTCAAAGCCCTTTGACTGATGCTAATGCAAGAGCAAAGCAAGTAGCACAGTGTGAAATAGGAAGGCGATGTTTGAAGTGGACTTACTCTTGTGGTCTTAATTTTGTTGCCTGTGGCACACATCCATCCGGAATTGTCAGGGAGTGTCTTACATTCTTCTCCTTCTAGGCAGGGCTCCATCTCACACCACCATTTCCCAATCACTATGGAGGCTGTGGGAAAACAGGAAACAACTGTATTTGTACTTTGCCAAATAGCCCTGTCCTGATGCTGTGTCCCTCTGCAGATTTTAATATTCTCTGCAGCACAGTGGGTCTACTTCTATCTTCTAAGACTGGATAGGAAAGACATGTCAAGAAAACAGTATAGTACAAAATGATGCAAATATAATATATAATAATGTCACCACCCTGTTCAAATTCACCTCATAGAATTAAAGAAACAAGGAATGGGAACACTTTTGCTTTGTGTCACTCTGTCTGAGACTGGGTTTTGCTATGCAATTCTTCCTGGCCTGAAGCTTGCTATGTGGGAGACTTACTCTCAGATTTTGAGGGATTTCAACTCACTACTTTTTGTAGATCAGGCACCTTGTGCTATTTCTTGCCAGTTAGGGGGACAAAGAGCTGAGTATTCTTCAGATTGACTAACGCATTCTTTTCAGAAAGGCCAGTTTATCCACCCAGCATTAGATTTATCCCTTAGCCTAGGGCCGTGGAGAATTTCAAATCCCTAGCAAAAGAAAAAAAAAAAATGAACTGCAAGCACAGAAGCAAAGTTGTAAAGTACAAATCAAGAGTAATGATAAAGACAAGTTCATTCCTTTGCAGTCAAAGGTACAGTTGGTTTGTGTTGTGGTTTCCCTTTCATGTGTTTGATGAGCTGTAGAACTACGCTAGCCAAATCTCAGATGAAACTGTCTTTTGGGGTTATATCATATGAACACACACATAGCATTTTTTTTATAATGAGACTTTATAAAACAGTGGAAAACAAGCATCTGTTATCTCTGTGCTTCTTACTGTGTTAGTTCCTCAGAAATCCACCTGGGTTTGTCCCATTCACAGAGCTCAAAATAAGGGCCTGGAAAGAGGGCCTAGTGGTTAAGAGTACTTCCTGCTCTTGCTGAAAGCCTGGAGTTCAGTTCCCAGCACCCACATGATATTTCACACCTAGAGTCTATAGCTCCAGCTCTAGGGGATGCAATGTTCTCCTCTAGCTTCAAGGAGACCAGTCATGCACACAGTACACATGCATACATGCAGGTCAACACTAACATGAATAAAATAAAGATAAGTAAATCCCCCAAACAACAGCAACAAGAAACACACAGGCTCAAAATGGTAGCCATGTTTTTTGTTTGTTTGTTTTTTCATTCTAATTTTGTACTGGGCCTTCAGCTACCATCCATCTCACCACCCCCCATCTCCAGAGGTATGTCTACCATGATTTTAAGTCATAGTGATAAAGAAGCCAAACAATACTTATCAGTGTCTCAGAAGATAAATACTAAGATACAGAAAAGTAGGAACACATTAAAATTCTCCAGGCTTTCTGTGTTAACTACAGGGATTAGATTTCTACCTTAAAATTAAGTGCTATACTCACCCAAACAGCCACTTGCATTCAGATTTGCCTTCTTTCACACGTTTTTCAATTTAAAGATTTATTTATTTTTTGTTAGTGTGTATGGATATTTTGCCTGTATGCTTGTCCTTACACTATATGCATGCAGTGTACAATGAGGCCATAAGAGGACATCAGATCCTCTGGAACCAGAGTTACAGATGGTTGTGAGCTGCCTTATGGGTACAGGAGCCCAAGCCCTGTCCTCTGGAAGAGTAGCCCTTACTCCTAATTGCTGAGTCATCTCCTGCCCCATTGCATACTGCCTTTACCTCACGATTTCTCTTCCTTAGATTTCAATGTTGCTTCAGTGTTGCTTTGAATTAAATCACTGGACAGAGTTATATAGACAAAAATTATATTGTGCCTTAATAGCATGAATTTAAGAAAATTTTCAGGGGCAAATTTGCCACGTTGAATGATTTTTATTTCATGTGGAACAGACCAATGTAAATATGATGTCTACCTCAGGCATGCTAAGAAGGTATCAGAGGTCAAAGTTCATTAAGCCTTCTATCTATGCACAGGACACCATGAGTAATGATACAGACAAAAATCTTTCACAAGTTCATCGTGATGATATGAATGTCTAGTTATTTTTCTTGTGAGTATCAGTGCTCTACAACAGGCATGGAGAAGGGTGAGGTTTTTATGTCATGTGCAAAAGAATTTATCCCTGCTGATAAATAGGTAAGAGTTTTATACAAGAGAATATGAAATTCCTTCAACAAAGAGAAACAATGTCATGTTGAGAGGGAATAAAACTAATGGTAAAACTTCCACTGTAAAATGTGAGATAAAAATAAGGGTTTGCTGCTGTGTATCAAAAACTTGTAAAATGTGGTTCCCTTCAGTTGGTGTTTAACAGAAAAAATTATTCACATTTATTGTCAAAGCCATTATTTCTCCTTTAAAGCCTACCTCATATTTCCATACCACGGCCCTGAATTGAAACCACTATGAACAGACACCATCTGACCTTTGCTCTGAGGGGAGGGATGCTTTCTTGACAACCCTTTCACTGAGCATGTTGTCATGCTTTCTTTTCCCTCATGGAACCATGGTAATAACGAACACCTGGCAGTGGGGTCAGCCTGAAGTATTTGTGCCAGCTTCTGAAGGCCTGTGCTCTTTCCCTTCCTCCAGGCAGCTCGCTGTCCTCTTTGTGCTGACCTACTTTGCTATAAGCTCTACCAAGGCAGTTTCCCTTTCTCTTGGCCATTTTAATGTCTCCCCAGTAAGTGCATAGACAGACAAACAGACAACAATCTCCAAACTCCTGTAGCATCTTTAATTCAAAGCTCTAAAGAGTCACTGGCCATTATGGGGAAGGCTCTGTATGGATGGAAATGTCCTCGCATATACTTATAACAGTGAAACTTTCACACTGTGACTTCCTTTGCAGAATGAAGTTGCTGATCTGCCTTTCCTCTGTGAGTCTGGTTCATCATCCAGCACAGCCTTGTTTGATGGAGCATCCCATCACATGGGCATCTTTGTACACACATCTTCACATCCTAGGTCAAGCTGCAGCCCATAATTCAGACATTTTTCATAAACTCGTATTTCCTGCCATATCTTTCATGTGATTCACAAAGAGAATTTCAAACTACCCTGTTCCTTTACCCAAACTAGAAGCTATTTTAAACTTTCAAACTTTGGGAACAGTTAGAATCTGTTAAACTTCATAAAATGAGCTTTAGGTGTCAATGACATTTAGATATTTCTATGATATGTGGAGATAAAATTACAATAAGAGAAATATAAATACAAAAATGATTTTTCCTGCTCAGTATATGTTCAAGAAACAATACAGAAATTGATGTATAGGCATCTATTAATATTCTCCAAACTCTGGTAAGTTTTCTGAAATTTATTCAAATTTAGTTTCTTAATTGTCCCTCAATTTGAAAAACCACATTTGTAATTAACACAAGTTTTTACTTCCATGATCATTTTTCAACATTTTGCTTTTTATATAGATATTATTTCCTTTGTCTCTGTAAATAAGATATGGAGGATGTATAGGAATTTCTGTGTTGGCCCTCTGCTAGAGAGATCTGGCCCCACCACTCATCTATGATAGTGTGGCATGGGTGAAGGAAAGAATCTCCCCACCCCTCAATTCCAAAATATATTTTTAGTATATGTAAAAACTTTTTTCCCAAACTGGGAATTTTTAAATTGGAAATGCTTTTATTTTTTAACTTCTATTTATTTACTACAGAAATATTTACTTATTTATTTTAATGTGCATGAATGTTTTGCCTGCCTGTAAATAAATGGATCACAAAGGTGCTTGGTGTCCACAAAGGCTAGAAGAGGGTGTTGACCTTCAGCAATATGGCAGAATGAAAGATTAACTCAAAAATCAGTAGTAATGACAAATGGGTCAAGAAAAAAATCAGAGAAACATCACCCTTTACAACAGCCAAAAATATATGTCTTGGGGTAATTCTAACCAAACAAGTGAAAGTCCTGTATGACAAGAACTTTAAGTCCCTAAAGAAAGACATTGAAGAAAATATCAGAAAATGGAAAGATCTCCAAAGCTCTTGGGTTGGTAGGATAAGCATAATGAAAATGGCAATCTTGCCAAAAGCAATCTACAGATTCAATGTAATCCCCACCAAAATCCCAACACAATTCTTCACACACCTTGACAGAACAACACCAACTTCATATGGAAAAACAAAAACCCCAGAATAACTAAAACAGCCCTGTACAAGAAAAGGAATTCCAGAGGCATCACCATCATTGACTTCAAACTCTATTATAGAAATGAAAACAGCTTGGTATTGGCATAAAAATAGGTGGATCAATGGAATTGAATCAAAGACCCTGACATTAATCCACACATCTATGAACGCCTGATTGTTCTCAAAGATGCCAAATTAGAACAATAGAAATAGGAAAGCATCTTTAACAAATGGTGATAGCATAACATGTACAAAATTGAAAATAAATCCATATCTATTGCCATGAACAAAACTCAAGTCTAAATGGATCAAGGACCTCAACATAAATCCAGCTACATTGGACCTGATAGAAGAGAAAGTGGAAAAAAGTCTTGAATACATTGGCACAGGAGGTCACTTCCTAAAGTTAACACCAGTAGCACAGATGCTGGGAGCAACAATTAATAAATGGGACCTCCTGAAACTGAAACGCTTCTGTAAGGCAAAGGACACTGTCAATAAGACAAAACGACAGTCTACAGAATGGAAAAAGATCTTCACCAATCCCACATCTGACAGAGGGCTGTTCTCCAAAATACATAAAGAACTCAAGAAACTAGACATCAAAATACCAAATAATCCAATTAAAAATGGGACACAGAGATAATTCTCATCAGAAGAATCTCAAATGGCAGAAAGACATTTAAGGAATTGCTCAACATCCTTAATCATTAGAGAAATGCAAAATCAAACCAGTCTGAGATAATATTTTAAACTTGCCAGAATGGCTAAGATCAAAAATTCTGAGGACAACATACGTTGGAGAGGATGTGGAGTCAAGGGAACACTCCTTCACTGATGGTGGGAATGCAAACTTGTACAGCCACTTTGGAAATCAGTATGGCAGT